CTGCTTAGGCAGCGATTTATTTAAAAAAAAAAATTTGTTATTAAATCGCTGAGCAATTTTTTAAATAAAAAAATTTTTTAAAAATGTTAACTTATGTTTATAATTTATAAGAAAATATACATTATTTTAAAAAAATTAAAAATAAGTAAATATATTTTCTTTCTAAAAAAAAATATTATATTGAATTTAAATTTAAATAATATTTGAATTCAAATAATTAATTTTTTTTAAATAAAAAATTAAATGAGAAAAATTATTTAATTTTTTTTAAAACAAAATTATATACTTTTATATATATATATATATATATATATATATATATAAAGTGAAAAGGATCACATGACAATAGCAATTTATAAAAAAAAAAAAAAAATTTATTTTTGTAAATCGCTGCTAGAGCAGCGATTTATATCAAAAAATTTTTTTTTTTATAAATCGCTGCACTGGCAGCGATTTTAAAGAAAAAAAAATTTTCTTCGTAAATCGCTGCCAGAGCAGCGATATACCTTATTTTTTTAAAAAAAAAAGAAAATTAAAAAATAATGTTAAATCGCTGCCCTGCCAGCGATTTGTAAGAAGAAACATTTTGAAATCGCTGCTTGAGCAGCGATTTCATTTTTTTATTAAAAAAAAATTTTTTTGGCAAAATCGCTGCCTCAGCAGCGATTTTACTTTTTCAGTCGAAGTAAATCGCTGCGTCGACAGCGATTTTACCGTTTTGGTTTATATAAAATTTTATATACCGTTTTGGAATTTTTGTTAATATTTTTTACCCTTTGAGTTTCAGACTCACATAAGTTAATAGTGGAGTTTGAACACACAAACACTAGTGTGAAAAGTATTTTCACCGCCCATCCTTACCACTAAGCTATCATTCGTTAGGGGTTCACAAGTTAATATATATATTTATTTAATCTTCTAACACAAATACAGAGTCTACCAAAAAGTTAATGGGTTCATCCAAACCCACGTCCTAGCTCCGCTTATAGTGGGGATAATTAACAACTAAATGCTGCTAGTCTGGCATCTGATAATGTTCTCTCTTCCTATGAAATCTGAATGTTTGATCTTTCTACTGTATGCTAATAATAAAGAATGTCATCAACCTAGCTAGTTCCTTTTGGCAATTGGATCCTTGGAGTTTGGTCTAGGATGTGTTCCTGAAACTGTAGATCAAACATTTTAGCCCATTATAACAATCTAACCAATGATAATTTATGTAGTTCAAACTCTAAGCCCAAGAAATGAAATAGCATGAACAATGTAGCCATTAGAAGGCGAGACATAAACGCAAGTTTTACAGAGTGGTATGTTGTATGCGATAAGAGTGTTGGCTAGTCAAAAACTCACTTGTTCAGAAGTTGAAAGTTGCGGAACTGATGATGATAAGACAGATGTGTTGGCATACTAGAGAATATAGGAATACAAACGAAGATACTCGAGACAAGATGAGTAAATTGAGGTGTGATAAGCTAGTTTTAATGGATTTTGGTAGCAATAGACCAAATAAGTATTGAAGAGAGGTGATTAGATAAAATATGATGCAGTTTGAACGTATCGAGGACATAAATAGAAGGTTATGGGAAGAACGGAATATGATAGAAGATTAGTAGATAGGTATACGTCGTCTAGTTTCTCCTTTCAAACTAGTGGTAGTACTTACTCTCATACGCTCTTCTTCACTAATTTTTGTCACTGTGATGTTTTTTTCATTCTCTGATTATCTTAGTATTCTGTTCTGTTTTGTTTCATTTCTTTTCAGCAGACTTTGTCATACTTTCTTTAATTTTTGCCATTGCATCTTCCCTTTTATCTTCTTATTTTGAGTCGAGGATCTATCAAAAACAGTCTCTTTAGCTCCGTAGTTCGGGGTAAGAGTTTACTGGGAAGTAGTTAGGAGATGACAAGCTAATCCCTCTATACTCAAAACAATATGCATCAAAGCACTGGAACTAGCTAACTTATACAAGGTAGAGGCAGTTATTTATGTACTAGAAGTTACATTGAAAATACCTATTTTTCCAATCAAAGATCTCAATTCACGAAAAGAAAAAATACACAATACACTCACTCATAAATCATTTCCGCTTAGCTTTTCTATGGCCGCGGTTGAAATCATCATCACTATTTTCACCATCGTCCTCCTCATCAGTAGTGTTGTCATCGCTATCATCATCGTCATCAGTCCCGGAGGGAGGTGAAGGATCAAGCCTAGCAGCATCAATGGCCCACTTAATCACCTTTTCAACTTCATCATCGTGATCCTCTTCATCTTCCACCACTACGTGTTGCTTAGCAGATGATGATGCCGAAGAATAAGCGGGAAGTGAGCTTTTGAGAGCTGCAAATCTGGTAAGCAAGTCATCTGACTCGTCCGTTGTTGAGGTAGCTTGATTGTCTAAGTCTAAACCCTTAGGTTTTCTGGGGGGAGTTTGCTTGGATCTGAGGGCTTGAAAACGTTGATCGAGATCTGGATCGATGAATTGGGTGGAAGAACCACGAGCCATATGAGAATTCAGACTCAGCTTGAGGGACACGTCATCCTCTGCCGCACGGAGCAGCTCTTCCACCTCCTCCGATTCGCTCTTCTTATTCCGGCTGCTCATCGATGCCCACAAAAATACCTATCCAACTTTGATATAAGTCTTCTCTACTTCTCTTGGTATTTAAAAATAGGTCCAATATAATATTATTCACTTTTCCAGAGACACAAAATGAATTTGGACTTTTTATATCATTTTCAAACAGATTATTCTTTTATCTCAATTTATACGACATTATACTAGTTTTAGCGCAATTTTTAAATATATAAACGGACTATTCCAACACATTGCAAAGCATAAACCTTAAAATTGAGTTGCTTTAAGCAACCAATATACGTCAAATCCTCAGCCATGAAATAGGGAGACCAAAAAGAGGCACATTTGGGAAAGCTTTTCTTGGAACAATTTCAACAGTAGAATGAATATGAAATCTTCTACTTGAACCTCAAATAGATTAATGCAAAATTCATCATATTTACAAATAAAACTTCCAACACACTTCACTGACTGAGATATTGATTGGAGAAGCTAAAATAATACACTTCTACTTGATGTTCAATAAAATACATATATCGCGACATGGATCCTCAACCCTAGGAAGAGAAACCAAAATCAGTAGATATGTGTTTATCATGAATGTCTTGCTTCTCAGCTCTACACAAGACTCTTGCTTTACCCGAGCATCCACGTACCAAAAATCCAATTTCACAAGGTGTTATCGCCAATGTGTGTGTGTGTACCTGGAAAAATAGTTGCATTTCAAAGTGAGTGAAAAAGTCTCACAAGCTTTCTTGCAACTGGTTGAGCAGTATGTCAGATCCTTCATCGTTATCAGATGTATCCTTCTCTATTTCTCGCTCACTACTGGTAAATGAACCATTTGATAATGGAATATATGACATGTACTTTTCATCGTCAAGACACCCAACTTGCTTCAACACCTCCAACAGGACTTCTTTATTTTGTATATCGTCTTCCTGCTCACAAAGCCTGAGAATGGAAGATACAGTTGCAGGTTTCGGTCTCCAGCTCTTTGATCCCTCACTTGAAACAGCATCCTTCAAGCATGACAAAGCCTCTGATATCCTCCGATCCCTGATATGGCCTTCGGCAAGGATCTCGCAGGTCATTGAGTTTGGCTTTCCACCAGCTCCAATCATTTGGTCAAAGAAAGCACTAGCCTTGTCCACGAAACCCTTCCTCACGTAATAACCCAATAAAAGATTTCCTATTCTAGGATCATAGTGAACCTTCACAGGTAGCCACTCATCATATATTTTTTCTGCACCTTCAATATCATCCAACCTCACCAGAGAAGATATTACAGAATGATATCCCAGGTTTGGAATATTTGGAAACTGCGATTGGTAGGTTTTCCAGATTCGGAGAACGTCTTCCTTTTTACCAAGACTACCATAGAGACTGATGAGATAATGATATGGAATTCGATCACGGCCTGTGATTCTGCTCTCAACACTTTTCAAAGAGTCTTCAGCTTTTTTCATCTGCCCCAACTTAATGTACATAGTAGCCATGGTACTAAATGTAGTCCAATTTGGATTGATATCAGTGTCTAGATTCATTTGTTCGAGTACCTTTTCCATTTTTTCAATAGATCCTTGAGATCCACATGATGATAACCAGATATTATAGGAATATATATCTAGTGGAATTCTTTTCTCCTTCATTTCTGAAACCACGGATTCAACCTTGTCGTAGTCTTTAAGGTTCATATAGAGTGTCATCATCACATTGAATGGAAGAGCATGATCAGTGTATCCTCTGTTTCTCATTTTATCAAGTAAAGATTCAGCTTGTTCCTTCTTTCTAGACCGCACAAAGGCATTTAAAAGAGACCCATATATCCGCTTATCTTTTAAGGTGTCTGGCAACTTATCAAAGTATTCTTCAGCACTTGATATTCCATGTACTTTTGCTATCAGGTCTAATTGAATAGCAGTATCACTGGTGGTTAGTCTAAACCTCTCTGGTCTATTGTTCATCCACTCATACACCTGCAGGATACAAGATTAAGTTAAGCCCCAATGGAATTGCTATATGGAGACAACGACATACAGTAAACTCAATGACTTAAATGAGTAACGGAATCAAGAACGATTAATCAAATTTTCATAATAGTCTGACAGAAAAATTGAATATTTCTCTAGTATATCAGAAGAAGTCTATTGATATTTGATACTCATTCAAAGTTTACAAGTTTCAGACTTTCGCACTTGGTTCAGACAGAGTGATAAAAATGTTCAGATTTTGAATTCTTTTAGATCATTAGTTTCACTTGGTCACAAAGTAGACACATACATAGTGCACACTGCACTAGTAAGATGGGCAGCTCCCTGGCTGGTACCACTAGATAGAGCTACTAGTAAGATGGGCCATTATTTTTTGATAAGGTGAAAATAAAGCAAATAGGACATCATTAAGGTAAACAAGGCAATAGCTTCGGTTAGAGTAAATCCCAAGAAGACAAATTCCAACAATGTCTTGCACATAGACTGAAACAGAATATAAAGATAAAAATGACGGCACGACACTCCCACCGCCCCAAACACAAGAAAGAAAAAAGAACTTCTGTCTAAGTAAACCTTCACAGAATCGGTATCCACAGACACAACTAAGATTTCCAGTACTCTTATCTGGATCACAGCCTCATACTTCAGGACTATTGCATCTACAAGCTCTCGGGAAATATAGTATTCAACGTGTACCACTTTAAGCTACTCATACTCATTACATAATTAGGAGGATGATCCTTTTCATTTATGCCCAAAGTTTTGTCAATAGAAGCTTCTTCATGCCATTGATTAGAACTATAATTATATTGGAAATGGTTGGGGAAATGCAGTTCTGTTATACCATAACAAGTTTAAGATGTTTAATTCCAACGTATCCTTGAGAAACACGTAATGTAAACTATTTTAAACCAAACCTAATAATGCAAGCAAAGCAACACAGAGAACACAAGTAATCACAAATCAATTTAAAAACCAAAAAGACTCAAAAGTTATCTAGTTCAACCAAGAAATTCAAGCACAGTTTAGCCAGATTACACAAAGCAAGGAATAGATTAAAAAAAAACAGAAAGCTTCAAACTTTAATTGATTAGGTACCTCAAAAGCCAGCTTATAACGCCTAAACTTCCTTAGCTCCTTAATGACCCTAGAAAGTTCCCATTTCGTAACCTTTTTCCCCTCATTTTCCCACTGATTCAACACACTAACAGAGCCTCTTTCTGGTCCATCATTCATAGATATTCTTTTGTAAATAGCATTCCATTTCACTATTGGCCGCCTCTCATAGTCAACAGTCCCATAGCTATGCACCTGTGATGTTGATGAACAGCTAATAACTGAATGATGATTCTTTGAACACATCAAGGGTTTAGTAAAACCACCCAAATTGCAAAACCCAGATGGAAAAGACAGTGAATAAGATAGGGACGAAGAAAAAGAGACATACTTTTCAGTTTTTTGATGTGGAGGTTTAACGGTGGTGGTGGGTTGTAGAAGCATTTTTTGGGGTTTTTTTTAGGGTTTTTGAGCTTCAGGGGTTCTTGATTTTCTGTTAAAACTTCGGTTGTGTGTAAAAGATAAGATATCGACCTGAAGAATTGTAGAATTGTAGTGACAGAGTGACCCTCTTGGTTTCTTTTATCTCGAATAAGTCCTTTAAACCTTCATTTGCTTGCATTCCCAGTCCAAGGACCAATTATGAAATAGATTATGAGAGTATTCGATACGAACAAAAATATTTTTCTCGAAAAATAAGTGAGACTCTTTACTTATAGTGTGTAAGCCAAAATTTCGAAGTGAATTTTGAAACTTTTCAACGGTTAAGCCTACCTCTATTCTTGTATTTAGTGGATTCAAAAAATATATATATACACCAAAAAAATTCTAATATATACAATAATTTTTTTTGTCTATGGAGCCGGGGTGAACACCCTCGCCTTCTTTTAGATCTTCCTCGGGTTGTATAGTGGTGGGGATGAGCTTTACGAGATTGGAGTAAAGATGAGGTGTGTTGGAGGGTGATGAGAAAATATACAATTAATGTGGAATGTCACTTATGAAACTTATTTTTCCTGCTCCAAATATAAGAAAAATAGAATGTATAGTATTCCTATCGTATGTACTGTAATAATATGTATATTATTCTTATAGTATAAAATAAAGTTATATGTATGTACAATATTCTTATAGTATAAGATAAGTTATTTTTCCTATGAATTTAACTTCTACTCACAATTGTGCTTAGTCACATCTTATATATATATAATAATTAATGCAACTTTAGATGGAATTTGATATAACAAATAGAATATTAATCTTGTTAAAACTCATTAAATTATACAATCTCTATGAATATATGTAAGTTTATTTATACAAAGAATAAGAAGAGGACTGACCAAGTCCAAGCTAGTAGTCCACTACAGAACGATGATTATTACACAACAAAATTATTGACGTTTCTAAAGCATTATTCCACACGCACTAAGGGTGAACTATCAAATTGTCATATCGAAATCGGTCCACACACACCAAAAGTAGAATAGATATCAAATTATCATATCAAAAATCAAAATTATTGAATCGAATCCTTGAACTGTTTATTTTTTAGATAGAAAGCAAATCATTGAAGTACTATACAACACACAGTTATACCAACAACAACAAAAAAAAAAAGCCTAACATTTTTTGTTGAACAATAACACTAACATCCTTGACTTTTATTCAACAAATCATGAAACAAAAATTGGCCTAATTTTACACAGTATGAACAAGGGGTACAGATTCTTGATCAATTTCATCATCCAAAGAAAAATCCTCTGCTACACACAGAACTGCATGAGCCAAAACAATTGGAAAAGTTAGAGTCAAAGTGATTAAAAGCTGAATTCCAGCACCTGTGAGTACAAGAGCAAGACATGTCCCAATGGCTAGCAGTGGCAGAACAATAGGCCTAGTGTCGAACGCGATAAGCCAACGAAACACAACAGAATTGGCCACTGAATTAAGAAATAGCAAGTACAAAACTGCCACTTCCTTCATGGCAACTAAACAGACTAATGAAACTTTACGTTCAGAAATAAGCAAGATGAAAAGGACTATCCACATGAATTCAGCATAGTATAGCCAAAATTTACGCAAGTCTTCTATGATTCGCGATGTTGCTGATTCAAGGATAGATGGGATGCTAAATCGACATAAAATTTGGAAGGAAAATGTTCTTTTGTTTTCAAGATTTGGAGTTTGTTTTGATTCATTAGGCTGAGTTCGGGATGCTGATGTCCTTTGTACTGCCATTATCTTGAAAGATGAATGTGTGAGTTAGTATGAAGAGACTAAAGGGTATTTATAAATTGATTAAACAAAGTAGAAATGAGTCACTTTCAAAGTCAATATTATGATCATGAGTTTTTCTTCCATTTAATTTTAATTGGACTTTGAAAAATCAAAATACTAATGGACCTAGTCATGTATCATGACTTTTTCCCCCATTAGTACGCACTACTCATGAACAGTTGTAGGCTCCTTCACCGATTAGGCTAAGTACGTGACTTTAAGGATAGTCCACGGGTAGATATGAAAAGGCAGATGTAACAAGGTTCAGTAACACAACTAGAGTGCTAGGCCATTTAAATTTCTATCCTTAGTAGATATGTAGGTGAAATTATACCGAATATTTATAAGTTGCTTTTCACTAGTAGTTGTTGGTTGCTGGCAGTATAAAACCATAATGACTTAACCACTAGCTAAATTAGCCTCCTTATAAATATACAAAAAGAATTCATTTTTCACATGAAATTTAAGTTGACAGTTTTGTTATCATCATATGAATTTGACCTATAATAATATGCAATTCTATGAAATTTGATATGATAACTTTAACAAATAGGGTATCAGTCTGTTAAAACCTGTAAAAATTACACAAATGACATAAATATTCTTAACTCGAATATACGTTAAATATATTTTCTATTTCTTGTAGTTATAATTGAGGTACAAATGAGAACAATGAACCAGAAGAGGACTAACCAAGTCCAAAGTCAAGCAAAGACTAATGCAAATAATTGGAGTACCATACAACATAACAAGTTTTGGCACTTAATAATACAAACAAAAATACCTAATATTTTCTCTTGAACATTCACCACTTGACTCAACCCCCCTTAAACAATACTTTGGCATCAAACTGATACCCAGTGAGATCTCATAAGTGGGGTTTGAAGAGGATACAATGTACGTAGACTTCACCACTACCTCGTGAAGGTAGAGTTTTGGCACATAAACTAAACAGCATCTAAAATAATTAACCACATACAAAAAAAAAAACAATTATCATGTGGCAGCAAATTCTCCCCCATATATGGCACAAGAAAAAGATTCACAGACTCACTATCCTTGACTTTATTGCAACAAAACTAGCCAAATTTTACACAGTATGAACAAAGGGTACAGATTCTTGATTAGTTTCATCATTGAAAGAAGAATCCTCTGCTATCCACAGAACTGCATGAGCCAAAATGATGGGCAAAGTTGCAGCCAAAGTGATTACAAGATGGATTCCAGCATTAGTGAGTATAAGAGCAACACATGTCCCAATAGCTAGCAGTGGCAGAACAATAAGCCTTGTATCAAACGCTATAAGCCAACGAAACAGGACAGAATTAGCCACTGCACGAAGCAATATCAAGTACAAAACTGCCACCTCTTTAAAGGCAACTAAATATACTACTGAAACCTTACGTTTAGGAATAAGCGCGATGAAAAGGACTATCCACACAAATTCAGCATAATATAGCCCGAATTTACCCAAGTTTTTAATAATTCGCGTTGCTGCTGATTCAGGGGTGGTAGGGATGCTAACTGGACATGTAACTTGGAAGGAAAATGGTTGATTCTTTTCGAAATTCGGTAATTGTTTTGATTCATCAGGCTGAGTTTGGGATGGATGATTTGCAGAAGTAGCTGATGGCCTTTGCACTACTGCACCATAACTTGCCATATTAATGTGTGTGTGACTGAAAGAACGGAAATACTAAAGGGTATTTATTGATTGATTACATAAAATAGAAATGCATCACCGTCAAAGTCAATACTAAGAATTTTCTTCCCTAAAAATAATTCTAAGCATAGACTTTGAAAAATCAAATTAACTAAGGACCTGGTCATGCATGAATTTTCCTCCCTCAGTATGCACTATTTAGCTTAAGATAGACTTGAAGGTTTACCTTCGCAATGAAAGTTGACTTTGCAACCCTATTTCTCCCGAAGATACTTTTACCACGATGTGATATTGCAAACGCAGATTCTTGTTCATGCCTTGCCTTTCTACTGTAAAACTAACCTCGAACCAGAACAAAATATTATGTTGGGTGGGGCAGGGGCAAGGTCTCGCGGGTTTATGCATGTTTGCCCCCGCCCCACCCCACCCCAATTGCCTAATATCCCTACACAGTTTTGTGTCGAATCTAACATACAAAGTTTGCTAAGTATATGGAGAACAAGATATTCTCACTTTTGGTAAACTTAAAAAGGATCAAAACTGTTCAGGAATACATTTAAGGAACTGTTTAAAGCCTACCACCAAATATGAGGGACATCTTGTTATTTTCTCGAAATTGAGAGGACAGAAGTGGAAATAATACCCAGAAAAGTAACAAATAATGGCATGTGACAAGAATATTCAAATCATTTGAAAGCTGCCCAAATGAAAGTGAAGTTTCATATAATTAGTGTGTGATGTCCAAAGATGCAGAAACTATCAAAATTTTCCACAGCACCATAATAAAGACAAGTTTTTTTTGACCTCAATAGAAATATTGAAGCTTTGAACCTGTCAACCTTTTTGTTCTGATCATCTAGAACAAGAAACACATATCTTTCTGCAAAGATAATCTAATGTCACCAACCAGCTAAAAGTTCCAGCTTCACTACATGAACACAGCTGATGTCTGAGCCTAACATTTTTCCCTTCAGTTATCGCGAAAAAGGGAGTCGTGATAAGACTAGAAGGCTCGCCTTGTTACAATTCTCCACGCTAGCAATGGATGCTTTCATGGAATAACAGAGCATCCTGGCCAGCTTCTATTCATGATATCAGTGTTTCTTATGTTTCCATGAATAAACACCTTTGGTTCCTTAGCCTGCATGATGAAAACAGGTTATAAAGCAACAAGGATGCCAGAAATTCGAAGCTATCATTTGGCGTTGTCGTAAAAATCCTTACAAATGATATTGGAGGAAAACCAATTCGTATGCGAACCCGAGAAAAACCATCCACACTCATCAGACATTTGAATCCTTCGATGTAAGAATTCTCACTGTAACAGCAAAATTGGCAGAGATTAGGCTGATGTACTATAAATACGATCCGCATTAACTAAAACACTATCAGCAAAAAAAGAGGATTGTTTGAGCACAAAATCTAAACCTTTAAAACTGAAGAGGAAATAAAGAATGTGAGGCTACAAGGTATGATTCAGCGAGTGGCCTATGGTAAAAAACATACTTTTTACATCAAAAAATCTCTCACTAGAAAATAAAAGGCTCAAAACAAGCCTTTGAATACCTAGTCACGTCATTTGCAAACCCTTCGCCTGGTTCAAACATGTTATAACTTATACATCTCAAGGAAGAAAAATTTCTAGCATACGTTCTTGCAAGGAATAGTAACAATTGCAGTTTAATCTTATGGTCCTTTTATCCCAAGTACAAGGAATATCTCTACACTACCCTTTAATACAAGATGGAATATCAGGTGATACATGTGTGTGATAGTATTTGATTTAAAATGTGTTATCTTCTTATATTTTTAAATCTTCAGCACCAACCTTGGTCAGGGACTCAGAGCTGATAATCAGACCAATCCCTATTTGAATACCCAGAAGTCAGCTCTAGTGAGCACTTTCTCACGTGTATTTTTATCTCATAATAAGACTTTTGTTCCCTCAGAAAATTGTTTTAAGTATACGATTTGTTTCTGCAATGTACAGGCAACATAGTTCTATGTATTCTGAAGCCTCCAAACTAGAAATGGTCAAGACAACCACAGTCGCTAACACATGTATATGACTGGGAAGTAAGAATTTCATCTACCAATGAACCAAATAAGTAAAACATAATAATTCATGATTGATACTCGACTGTCAGACCTAGTATTCATCAGTAACACCAACTATATTGGTTTAAGATCAATAACACAAATATGCAGGAAGTAGATGACTAGATTTCACTTCCATAGCTAGCCTCTTCACACTTCAGTTCAGGGATCCAAGCCTCGTAAAGCATCTATGCATCATTATAAAGAGACATGGATTCAGATGCAAATTTGTTTGTTTGATAGTTTTTTTAGCAGTATAGTCCTAGGAAGGAAAAACACAATATCACAAAAGCAATGCCTCTCCATAACAGATATCAGCATTTCTCAAGGAACTAAAAAAAAAAAAGCAACATCCTCAACCAGGAGATAACAAACTATTTAAATAATCATATAAAAGTTCGAAGAAACATCATATCAGATTTTGTAAATCAACGTCATCCTCTATTGAGAGTTATTATTTTGGTTAAGCCTCAAATACTTCTTCCATTTGGGTAATGCAACTAAGCAAATGCTATTCAAGCGGTGTGAAGCTTAATCACCATATTTTCTAGAGACCTGTTTGGATTGGCTTTTGGCTTATGACTTATATAACAAAAGTCATAAGCTAGGATTTCTAGCTTATGCTTTTCACTTATTTTTGTTACTTTGGCTTTAAATAAGTGCTTATAAGCACTTTTTAACTTTACCCAAACACTTCAAAATTGCTTAAAAGCTATTTTGGCTTAAAAGCACCTAAAATAAATCGATCCAAACGGGCACTTAGACCACTAAATATAGTGCTTCTTTACAAGGTAAGTGCATTGATCCATTTGGGTCATGCTAAGTCATTATTATTCATTTAGAACTAATCCCTAATACCGAAGTTCTGAAATCATGCATGCGTTCATGAGGATCCTAGAATTGGGGAGCCAGGGCGACGGTGGCGATAGAATCAAAATTGTCTTCCATCACATGACACTGAAATTTATCAAGCATACTTGGAAATAACTTCAGCGCTGCAATCAAAGAAAGATGAAATGGCTATCTATATAAGCGCCTGGGGAGTGTGAAGACCAAAGCACTTAATCTACTCAATGATCAGACTCTCTAAGTTTGTCCTTATTTTGACTCAGAATGCCAATTCTACCTGATTACATTTAGATTGCTAACAGAGAACAAGATGGCTTTAAATTTCAGAAGACATTTGAATGATCGGGAGTTGAGAAACAAACTGAATTTTTTCGGTACAGCCAGTGTTCAGGGAAGCGTGAAGCGGAAAAAAGAGATAAGGCCCCGCTTCGCGCTTTAAGTGATGAAGCGCTCGCTTTAAGCGACGAAGCGCTCACATACTCATTCTAGTCTGTGAAGCGTAGAAGGCTTGCATCGCTTCGCTTCATCGCTTTAAGCAATGAAGCGCTCGCTTTCCTAAACACCCGTACAGCGACATCGTCTCAAGGACTGGCACAGGGAAGAGCTGGAGATCATGAAAAGCAAATCCACACAAGGAGGCAGGAGACAGGGAAGTTTTGCTTCTAGAATGCTGCCTACGTGAGAACCACGAGACATGGGGTTCTCTCTTACTGTTAAGACGTGTTGAACTCTTCTTTGTCTACTCCTTTCCACATCGGGGCTTAAGAAGAATACATGAGGATCGAAACGGGAATGTTGGCCCCTCCTCAGTACGAAGAAGGGTGGGTACTAGAGAGGATTGTGCGAATCCAGACAGGCTCACATTGAAACCCGTAGTAAAAGAATCTTTACAGTAAACTTTTGTTATTCACAGTTGTGTTATGATAGACAGCAAGATATTTTTACTCCATGGGAACAAACATCAAAAAAATGTTCCTTATAAGGTGGTTTCTTTCACTTGGTTTGTTGCTAGAAATGCTTGTTTAACACAGGAAAATCTTCAAAGAAGAGGTTTTCATATGCGCTTTAAATGTTGTCTTTGTGGATACAACCCGGAGAGTGTTAATCACCTATTTCTACATTGTCGCACATTAGGCACGGTTCAACTTCTGCACTTTTTTCTCAATATACTGGGACTTATAACAGATTATACCAAGGCAGCCATGTGAGTTATTGAAGTGCTGACCCATCAGAGGAAGGAATTCCAAGCAAAAGACATGGTACAGACTATTCGGGCATGCACATGATGGACAGTTGAAGGAGAATTTTCTAAAAGCTTTGAGGACAAAGAGAGCCCATTGAGAAGATCAAAATGTCTACTTTTGTTTATTTATATTAATCATGTTGAATCAGTGACAAAACATTATAGAATCATTATAAGAACAGAAAGGGATGCACCTTTGATAATTAGTAAGTACTTTTGCAGCACCAAAAAAGCTTAGAAGCTAACATGCATCATCAACAAATCAATTACAAATGTCCATAATGCCTTAGCCTCACAAAACTAAAGATGTCACTTCTGTTCCCTATAACAAGGACCTTGCAATCTATAAGAATAATTAGCCAGCAAAATAAGATAAATAAATTGCAAAGAACTCACTTCAGAAGATATGTGAAATTTTTCATCTGCAAGTCTTCCAGAGAAATATTTTCTTCTTTAGAGTACCTATACCCAAAGGAGCAATCTTGGAAGTCAAATTGCAGCTGGAAGGAAAACGGAGAAACAATAACTTGAAGCTGGAAAGATGTTAATCAGTTGAAAGGTTAAAAGTATAGGCACAATCAATCATATGCATCTCTAAGAAGTAATTTGTACTAGATAACCACAATATTGCAAAATTATTTTACACTATCCATTTCAAATTAAAATACAAGATGCCTTTCTTGCATGCTAAGGAAGGCAATTTAGCTAAGTACATAAATTGTGTAGATATAAATACACTATGATGCATTAAAAGAGAAAAAAAGTCACAGGTGTAATGGAACAAGACAAAAATGACATGAAAAAATATTGAAAACAATACAACGAGGTGTAATTTTTTTAACCAATTATAAGTCAAGCTATTAACTCATAAACAGGTTTGAAAGATATATTAACACATAAAACGAACTAGTACAGCTATGTCAAGACTAGTTTATTTGGTGAAAAAAGCAAAACGGGAAGAAGATAAACATTAATAAGAGTGGAATGAAATAATACCCAAAAAAAGCAGAAAGA